CAAAATGTTAATGAATGAAAAGATCGCATTGCCAATGTTAAATGTGTTGAAAAAAATCCAGAGAAAATAGGAAAACGTATCACTTTGGATAAATTTAATATTCCATTTTCATTAAGCAATGGATAACATTTAGAAAGACAATACGCAAATAAACTTGAGTCAAATGAAGAATCTAGATAAGACCGATAATGACAATGAATCGATTCTTTTGATGATATAATTGTAGTAGTTGTAGGTGATAAGAAATTTGAGGTGCATATATGATTAATCATACTATTAATAAGGTCTTTGGTAATTATAGGAACTTCATCATTTCTAAAGTAAAGAAAAAAAAGTCATGAAATAAACTCAATAAACGTTTAATCTGATGTTTGAATAATAATTTGATTGAGCATATGGAGACTATTTTGACCATGAAGAGTGTCTTTATTCATATCAAAATTATCTGCTACCTTAACAGCAAATTCATGTTTAATCCCACAGGATGATTGTTTCCGTTGTTTAAGTACATCAGAGAGCACTTTCACCTTTTCTGCAGCTTCAAATTGTAATCGACTCATTGTTTGATAGCTACAACTGTGGCCCAGACGATTAGTAATTCTGAGAAGTTGAGCAGACTTTTCATGTCTGAATATTTCATTACTTAATAAATAATGCTTCGGCGTAATATAGCGTTCATTAATTGCATTAATGACATCATATGATATTGATGATATTTTTAATTTTTTCTGGTCATTGAAAAACATATCTTTATTGAGAACTGAAACAAAAATATAGTCAAATTTTTTTTTCAAGAAACTAAATATGCAATGAAACACATACACGAGTAAAAATCATAGTGTCTTTTCATTTCATTTAGTTTCCTCTTGCTCATTGTTAACATACCAATAAAATTTTTCAATGGAAGAGGAATACATTGCCAATACATTGTTGAATTATAGTCAACAAGAGACAAACGATTTTTACTCAACATTAAAAAATAATCTGCATAACTTTCAATAGATTCTCGAAGAAATTGAATAACGTCAAACATAGCTTCACATCTAATGGTTTCAGTTATTTCATTTTTATTATTTTCAACACGATGTAACTGTGTACGTTCTTGAGAATTGATAGACATCAACTGGTTAAGAACAAGAGACAAATCATTTATTGCAACATATAAACCTCCAGACTTAGATCTACGATAAAACACTATCTGCTGACCAAATTTCAATTCTAGGCGTGCACGAATGGCACTACCAAGTAATGTCGAAGATGGAACTTTTCTATTTCGCTGACAAAAAATATTTTTATAATTTATTTTTATTTCAGCCATTGGAACGATTATTCCTTGCACAAGTAATTTTCGAAGCCAACAGCATAATTCTTGAAATTCATTTGCAGTCGCTTCATTAACTTGGATTTCATCTTCATGAAACAACATCATTTTTGTTTTATTACATGATGATGTTGATAATCGTTTATTGCTTTGAGTTGATGGAATACGATGTCTTTTGAGACTTGGATGTTTTGACAAAATCTAAAGCGAAAAGGTTCAATTCAATATAATGTTACACTGATGTAATAAAACAACACTTAACGATTTTACGATTCTTTTTATTTGTATATGATCGACATTGAGTTGTATCTAATATTTATGTATTCGTATTTGTTTCAGCTTCAACAGTGATTTTTTCAACAGATAATTCTTTCAACGGGTCAACAAATCCATTAATGCTTCTGTCTTGTCCATCATTCGTTCTTAAGTGACTTTCTTCATCAGTTTAAAAGTTTAGAAAAAAAAATATTAGAATATACATGCACCGTTGATAAACTTCAACATGTTCATTGTAACTAGCTGTTGGATGAACATTAAACGAAAAAGAAAACTTATTATTGCGTCTATTTTGAATACAAATCATACTACAGAAAGAGATATGACTAACAGAATATTAAGTAGGCCAATTTTGTTTATTTCTCCAAAAGTAATTCAAAATAACATAAAACCATTAATAGTTTATCGTGCTTTTCAAGATTTACGAATTGTCTCACTTGATCATTTGTTACTTGAGTGATATTTAATGAATTGGACGGAAAATTTTGATTTTTAATTAGACTGTTCTCTATTTCTGCAAAGCCAGCATTCAGATCGATTGTTGTGGTGTCTACAGAAACTAATTCAATATTTTATGATAAGATTAATGTCTCTGTTTATATTATCAGTTACCTTCATTGCGATCAATTGTTATTGATGATCCATTATGTGTTGTTTCAGAGAGAACAGACGATATCACGTTCGAATCCACATCGAATCTATTTTTTTTCAAATTATTCCAATCAGTAGATATTTGATTTTTCATAGAAACCTAAGTTACAAAAGAACAGATACTAGTTTCTTTTTTAAATTTAAGTATAATTGTACTTACACTTTCTTTATTAGTCGACAAATTATTATCTTTTTCAAAGAATAAATTATTTAATGACAAATCATTCAATATATTTCCTGAAATTTCTGAATAATCCGCTAGTTGTTGTTCGTCGTGTTGAATTGACGATAATCTCTTTACAATTTTATTATAACATGTACGATGGACAGAGGTATTAATTAAAGATTCATTAGACATATCAGTTTTATAATAAGACAGGTACGCCATACGAAGTTTGTTCTCGGTGCGAATTGAACTGATCGTAATATATGCATTTCTGATAGTCGCTTCGATCTTATTGCATATCATACATTGTCTTGTGTTGTAGGGCATATTATAATAGAGACGAAATATACTGACGATATTGTAGAAAATCTATGATTTTACGACAATACACAGAAACACATACAAAAGATGTTCAATTGACAATGACAACATTATCTTCTTTCTATCTCTCATAGGATTATTGTGATGATTCATGCACTAAGGTATGCAATCAAGTCATGCGTCTATAGGTGTCGCCATACGAACTCGCTGGTTTTTGCACATCAGAAAGATTTTTTTTCACCATTATAACTCATTATTGATGAACTAATTTTGTGGAAAATTTCAGTTCAAAATTTCCAGTCTCCACTTGAAGTGCATTAGTGGACCTGCATTTCGACATTGATTTGATGACTCATGTGGATGTGTACATAGACTATGACTAAATAAAATAAATCGTGTCTCATATGGTGATAGATCTTAAAAAGTAGAACAAATGACTGAAGCAGCCACATCAGTAACAAAAGTAGTAACGTCACCAACAGCATCTTTTACACTTGCAGAACATTTCTTTTCAATATCCCATCAATTATTTCATGAATATCGTAAAGCTATTTTTATACTCACTGGAACAGGTATGATTTTCTTGGTATCCTATTAATAGTAACGCCTGTATTTTTCAGCGATGACAGCATGGTTATATAATAAATTATGGGCGAATCGAAACCTCTATCAAAGTATGCAATTAATGCAAGGTAAAACTGTTGTTATTACAGGTGGAAATACTGGGATTGGTTATGAAACCGCTAAAGATCTGCTTTATCGAGGTTTGAATTCGATTGACTTTTATTTTTGTAAAATATTCTATTGTTATTTTGCAATTATGCATAGGAGCCCGAGTGATTATTGTTTGTCGTAATATGGATAAAGGTCGACAAGCTATTCGTCAATTATGTTCTGAAACTGAATGTGAAGAAAAAAATATTCGATTAATGGAATGTGATTTATGTTCACTTGAATCCGTTCGTAATTTTGCTAATTTATATAATAGTGAAGAAGAAAGACTTGATGTATTAATATGTA